GCACTTCGTTCCAGCACAATGCTCCACGAATTCGTGAAAAGATTCAGTTGATCAAAAAGAAATACGGGTTTCATTCGCGTGACAAAAAAATCGATAGCTCGAAGAAGTTTAGTATCAGTATTTATTATGATGACAAGGAGGATGGTGCTAAACGGGATAGGCGTAAACTCAAGCTACATTGGTTTGAGAAGGAAGGTGAAATAACAATTTTTTTTCTCGTGACGTTTTGTTCCTTCATGTCAAATAATTATTTCATGCTCATATAAGAATTAATATATATGTTAATATAGGCGTTTGGAAAGTCACAAATTGTGTAAGAGGACAACGTCGTTTAGCAATACTTGATGTACTTTCTGGGTCTGATGCGCCCGATTTTCGCTTCTTACTAAAAACTTGCCATAATCAACCCGTCAACGAAAAACACGAAAAAGTATTTGCTGATCTCCAGCGTGATGGTTTACAATTACGAGATGGGATGTGGTTTAGAATGGATGATTTCAAAGGGAAAATCAATGTTGAATCTATTAAACAAACAATCAAAAAGAAGCGTTATATGTAATTTACTATCTTATATTCATTCAAATCCTTAGTGCCATTCTATGTCAAGGTCCTTCTTATTATTAATATTGATTTTATCATCAATATAGAAATGATAAATTTCAATTGTCATTCCTTTCCGTGCTCGATGCAACAAACAAGAAAGTCATCAAAGAGGATACCATCAATCTTAAAAATCTCTATTGGAAAACTTTTGAAGAGACTGTGGGATCTGATATTTCGTATGATAAGGTTAAAACCAGCGAGAGCATTCAAGAAACTATAGCTTTTGCTCGGGAGATTGTTAAGAGTGTGTTTGAATGATTTTTTTTGCACTTTTTTGTCAATATTGATAGGCGGAATGTTGGTGTAACTTTTTGTATATTGATATTAAATAACTTATGTATTTATTCAATAAAAAGATTAGCTTGAGCATTGATGATTTTTGTTAGACATTCAATGAGTCCGTTCCATTAGTGAAAAACCCGGTATAGGGGTTGGACCCGATAAAAAATCCTACCCAGATCCAATCTCCAATCCGGTATTGAGATTCGAGTTTTTCGAGCAAAGACCGTCCTCAATTCACGCCGGTTTATAAAATTACTCACCGATTTTATCGAGTCATTATGTATGTACTTGATTTAGGTGAATAGGCGGGATTTGCCGTCAATACGACCTTTGTGCATATTTAAACAACAATCGGTGCTGCTATAAAGCAGAGATCATCCCAGATTAATAAAATTTCAATGCTGGTGTATAGAATTATATATTCATCATAAGGTTTTGCAAATTATTTTGAGTTATCATTAAAAAGAATTGATTTTTTTTGTTTTTGAATTGCTTACATATGAAAGTCAAGATTATACTCATGTGATTGCGGATTATCATTATTATTTAGATCCTTTATCGCTCATAGTAATAAATGGATTATTTGAATCAGGAATAGTACAACTAGAATTAGGATTAATGAAGGTGAACACGTGAAGCGCCACCTAACGCGTAATTTGCGACGCAAAATATATATACGATAAGGAATCAAGTTCTGTGAAATAAATATGGTTGTTATTCAAATGTATTAGTTCTCTCTCTCTTTTACATATCACCTCATCACTAAGGTGCACAGGGTATCCAGCTAACACCACATTCGATCTCGCACATTATAAAGCGCCTAGTTTGTTTCACATGTGACAATATTAATATTAATTAACACAAGTATTGTATAAAAATTAACATGAATTAATGTACCCAATTTTATCCGTCGTCCACACGCATAAACGCTTCCCTCAAACCCCGCTTTCCCCTTCCTTTGCGAATCAAGGTCAAATCCCAGAACCGAAAAGAAAGGTGTTTTTGGAAATAACAATGATGAGTCGTTATGATGGTGTGGATTTTTTTGGATAGAAAAGGGCTCACACACAAGAGTGTTACTTGATCTTCTCCGTTTGCGTGCCGAACAGGCTACTTATAAGGAATTTAGCCAAGTTCGGTGATTGTATTGGAGTTTTTTGATTTTTTTTTTAAAAAAGGAAAGGTGAACATTTTGAAAAATATCATATTTATAATAAATTTTTAAAGGTAATTTATTTTATATGTAAAATATCAAATTCAGAGAAATATAAGGATAACGAACATATTACAAAAATAGAGTTCATAGAACGCATATGTCACTTCTAGATGCAATCAATGCGTGTGCTTAATTACCGCAAAGTCCAAAAAACAGTTACCTACCTAATCAATGAAAAAATTAAAAGTTGCAATCAATTAACACATGGCACAATTTTTCTGTTACTACGCACGTGACACATAAAAAGAGGTTCTTTGAATCTTTTTATGCGTCTCATTTACAACCAAAGCAGACGAAAATTCCGCTTTGTTCTCTTCAAAATGGACTTTAATGCCGTTGCAAAAGAATTTGTGCAATATTATTATGGTGTTTTTGAACGAAACCGAGCTGAATTGGCATCACTTTATGTAAGTTTACCTTGCATTAGTACCAAAAAAATTTCCAAGCATGTATTTGAGCAAGTGTATATCGAGCCCACACATATACGTATTACATATTTTAACTGTTCCTGTGAACTTGTTATCTGATAGCGGGATCCATCTATGCTTACCTTTGAAGGTAACCAATTTCAAGGTGCAGGGCCTATTGTTCAGAAATTGACGGTATGTCTTTATCCGATAGATCCGTTGTTTGTTTGCTCCGTAATAAGATGCTGGATAATATCAGGCACCTTTTCATGTTTGCTGATCAAATCTTTCACTATTGATTTGTATGTAGACTCTACCTTTTCAGACTGTAGCGCATAAAATAACCACCTTGGATGCGCAGCCTGGTCCTGCGAATGCTCTATTAGTGGTTGTGACAGGTGAATTACTGGTATGTGTGTTAAGCAATAACGTTTTTCTAATCAAAATAATCTAAACAAAAAAAAATATGTTACTTTTCATTCCTTATTTCCACTAATTGATTAAAATTTTTTTCTAAAAAAATAGATCGATCAGGAAACAAATCCAACAAGATTCACACAAGTATTTCAACTGATTTCCGAGGGAAACACATACTGGGTTTTTAATGATGTCTTCCGCCTCAACTATGGATAAAGAGAACAGTGAACTGGCAAATTCATCCAAATGCAATTTACATAATCGAACATTCATCAGGAATTCTTTTTAATTCCAGCTCCTACTGGTATAGTAATTTCTATTACTGAATATTATAATTGACATTTCATATTTATTAAAAAGGATATCAAATACTAAGGTTTCTATAAGTATACATTTGCTTGTTCTATTCGAACTTGCAAGATAAACTATTATCAAAAGTGTATATGCGTATCTATTAATAAAAAAATGAAGAATAAACACAAAAATACCGATAAAAATGATATTTGATTAAATTTTATAATGACAACGATAAAATTAAGAAACTACTATTACTATAAAAAATTTCCTATTTGGAAAATATTAAGGTCATTATTTATAATCCCGTCCCGAGATTGAATTGAAGAGAAAATCCACTAATACATAAAAGTGTGTCGTCCGTCGAATGATTCGATGTTTATTTATCGTTAGCATACATGTTTTAATTCATTTACATATTATTCCGAATTGGGACATGTTTTTGGGTCATAAATGGTTAGGTTCAAGTTTTTTCTAGTTTCTTGATTTCAAATTTGGTGATTCTTTGTGGTGGTGTTAATTAATTTAATCAATTAATTAAAAATGATTAATTGATTATCGTTATTAATTGAGTGGGAATTCCACAGCACCTTTCTTTCCGAATTTTGTATTATTTTCATTGTTATCTTCCATCGTCTTTCTTTCTTGTTCAAAGAGACAGGACTTTTATCGCGCTTCTTTTGGCGCATTTTACGTGGTTTTACTTTTAAAACAAATAAAAAATCATGGGTGTGCTTTCTGGTACAGAAATTAGAAAATATTTAAATGACAAGTAAGAGGACGACCAGTTTTTTACACAGTTTGTTCTCTCGAATTTATTGAGGAGGTTGTTGATTGATCACCTTTTATAATTTGATGAAACTAAAACCAAAAGCTTTTATCTCTTTGCATTCGAGTATTAAAGGAGACTAATAATTGATCCTTTTGACTATGAGAACATTGGGACCGCTAGGTTTTTACTTCCCTTTGTTCCTGATCTTTTATTTTTTTTTTGAGAATTTGAAATTTTATTAAATAATTCAATTTTTTTCGATCATTCAATTTCTAGCGTGGATCTAACTTTAGGAGATGAATTCCGGTATTTCATTCATCACAATGGTCCAGTTCCGATAAGCGATGAGGCTGGTGCCAAAGATTATCAGAAATTTTCTCGGATCGTAAGTTACTTTTTCTCTGTTGATCAACAAAGAGAGCTTATTATCATTTAAAAAAAATGTGCTTAAAGATCTCATACTTTCATGAAATTTTGATCCCGCAGTTAAAATTAAACGAAGGAAATCCATATTATCTTGGTCCGGGGCAAATGTGCTTAGGTAATTTTTGGTGGTTTAATATGATTGGGCTAATTATCATTATTAATTATTATTGCTATTAAGGCATCACACGAGAACGAGTTAAATTGCCACCATCTTTGTGCGCTCTAATAGGTGAATGAAAAGAATAAGAATTCAAAAATCACGATTCTGTTATTCTAATTATTTTTTACTAAATCTACCTTTGCATTATCACCTCACCATGTCAACTGCTCTAATAATAAAAACGATTCAGAGGGACGTTCACGATTTGCACGATTAGGACTTTCAGTTCATATTACCGCGTCATTCATCAATCCAGGGGGGGATAACCAAACAGTCTTGGAAATATTCAACGCATCCAGTTTAACGCTAGCGCTGCATCCCGGCACCAAGATCTGTCAAATGATATTTATAAAGATGGAGGGCGAAGCCGAGTATAAAGGAATTTTTAACGGACAGGCCTTGTAAATTTCATTCGGCTATTAAATTGTAAAAGAGGAGAATTAATTTCTTATTGAGTTATTTATTTATTTATTTTCCTATTCTTTTTTATGTGTATCTTTTCTTGTATATTTGTGAGATATATAAGTTCGCACTACCTTTTAATATTATCGATTAATGATACTTTGTACAACAAAAAATAATATATCATCATTTTTTAATCGCGTCTACGTACTGAAACCTTCTATTTTATGTCGGATCAATCGTACCACTCATTGGTCACAATTTATTTTAATGTATACGTGCAATGTCTTCCACACCTAACACACAGACTTCGCAAACGCCACCCTCTTCTTCGCCTCATAATAATAAACAGCTAACACCACATCACTGTTCCCTCGAGATCTCAATAGCCGCTAACAATAATATCAAAGAAACATTACCACTTCCTCAATCCTCTTCAAACATAAATCATGACCAAACGACAACACCACTTTTAACATCAATTCCATCCACCAAAACCACCCTAAACCAACAATTAGTTCACTTGTTTCGTCTTACCACACTTCGAAGTTGTCGAAAGCTAAAGCGTATCCTGAGTCTAATGATATTATTCAGTATTCTGGCGTTCGCCTTGTTCTTGTTAACTTGGCCGATACTGCATCCACGTGTTACTTTGTTCACATTTAAATTTCGAAATTATTTGCATAATGAAGGGTATTTGGGTTGCTCGTTGCGAAAGCAACCGATACTATTTATGGTTGATACAGATCGCTTGTTGGCGGTATGGGAGTCGAATTGTATATTGAATAACGTAAAATTACGATGGTATCTGTCAAGTAATGACAATAGCAAGAAGAATATCAAAGATACTGAAGAGAACAACGATAATAAATCGGAGAGGAATCTGTATGGAGGAGGAATATCGGAAACTATACTGGATAGCACACATAACGTCTACAAAACCACTATCGGTCCAGTTCCAGCTTCGGGCACATACACTTATGAAATTACATATTCACCAATTGATGATGGAAATGAAATTTTACTAGCACGTTATTCTTTCTCATTCTTTTTACCATCAACCCACTTATCATTACAATTTCCCGGAAATCAAACTGATATTCATTCTAATAAGCCTGCCACTGATACTCTTTCACAATCAATAAATTATCCGATCAGGATTTTGGCAATTTCCGATAATCAGTTTGGTCTATCAATATTCAACCATCTTTTGGATGGTGTCGTGAAAAGGCACCCACCACCAAATTTTATAATACATGCCGGTGACGCGGTCCAAGATTACGACAGACTCCAGCAATGGCAGACTGATTTCTACGATCCATTGACACATTACCATCTCGCGCAAAACGCACCACTAATCTACGCGCATGGCAATCATGATTTTGACCCAAGTCTCGAATACCCGTACACAAGTAGCCAACTGTGGCACGCGTTCACCATCGCAAACACGCGTTGGATAGTGTTAGATAGTAATATGGATGACGTGTTACAGGACAAATGGTTACTTTCGGAACTACAAAGCCGAGAATCACGCGAAGCCATGTTTCGCGTCGTAGTTGTTCATATACCACCGTTCATCGAGTTCTGGGATCCTGACACATGGCATAACAAGGGTGAGAAACATTGGGGTGAATTTGTGCGATTACGTTTCGTTCCATTGTTTCAAGAGTTCGGTGTTGATCTGGTGATTAGTGGGCATCAACATAATTATCAACGCGGAAACTTGAATGGTATTACATACACGATTATTGGCGGTGCTGGTGGTGAATTGGATTATCAAAGGGTCGAAGATTGGCATATTTATGATACCGTGCAAAAAACCTATCATTATGTTACAATCGAGATATGGGACAGGATGCTGAAATGGGTTGCGTATAATATTGATGGGCTGGTTATTGATAAATTTGATTTGCAAAAGTAATGCGATTTTTTTAATTTAACAAGAATACTAATAAATTTGTACAGACTTTTTGATAATTAAAATCATTATAATTAACTGATTATAATAATAAATTGAAAAGAAATATTGAATGGTTGCCAGGGTCAATCATTAATCATTACCACTGCGTCCGCAACTAAGATTTTTTCATTCTTGTGCAAACGTGAGAGGTGCTGTACAATTCGATCTCATTTGGCCGGAATTATCAAATGCTGCGCCGGCAACTAGGTCATCTTCGCAAATCATGTGATTTGGAAATTGCTTGGGCCTCTCGGAACTTGTTTTGAATTTACGTTATATTTTGATCTTACAATTTGATTGGTTAATATGACAGATTAGCAAATCTAACCCAGCAGACCCATCAAAAAAGTTCCGATGAATGTAAAATTCAAAACAAAATTATTTTTTTTTTTAAAAAAATAACTTATATCTCGAAATTTTAACTGCTCTGTGTTCTATTAAAATTGTTTCTTATGAAATTTTAGATATATTTCTCTTTTTTGCATAATATTAATGCTTTAATCGTAACTGAAGCTTTTTTATTTTTAATAAAAAAAATAAAAATAATATTATTTAAAATTTTATTTTATTATTAGGATTCTTTAGCAAAAAGTTTTTCATATATAATTCACAAGAAACAATTTTTAATAGAACATAAAGAATAATTTCATAGATAAAATAAGTTATTTTTTAAAAAAATATTAAAATAAACTTTTAATTTTTATTTTATTTAAATTTTATATTATATCTTGATCTTATAATCTGATTGATCAATATTAATCATATTGATTATACTAGTCACTAGTTATAAATTACTGAACTTTTTTAATAGATCTGCTAAAATAGTTGATTAGCAATAAATATTACAGTTTATTAATATAATTATAATAAATTTTAATTGAATCATTTTCTTTTAGTTTAGATCTTTATTTTATAATCTTTATATTATATTTTTAATTATATTATTTTTACTCTGAATATATAGATAATTATTATATATTAAATTAATTATACATAATTATATTAATGATTATTATATATTTTATGATTATTAATTTAGATAATTCTTGTTTTTAATTAATATTTTTTAATTATTCTTTTATATTTTTATTTATTCTTTATTTATTATTATTTATATTATTTATTTTTATTAATTTATTAAATTAAATATAATATTATCCTTTAAAAATATAAATTAAATTAATTAATTATATAAAATTAATATATAATTTAGATCAATAATTTATTCATATTTTATATTTTATATTTTAATATTAAACTTAAATATTATTCAAATAATAAAATCATAAATATTTATAAATTAATTCATATTTTATTTTATTTATAATTATAAATAAGTAATCTTATAATAATTCTTAAAAATTTAAATTATATAATTGATTCTGATATTTCTGATTCTATTAAGATAATAATAAAATAATATAAAATTTTGAATTTATATAATCATAAAAATTTAATTAATAATATATATATAAGTATTATAAAAGAAAATTATATAAAAAATTAATTTATTTTTCAAGATATAATTAAATATTAATCTTATTTGTTTATATTAATATTTATTTTAATTTAAATTACAAATATAATTAAAAATTTTTTGAAATAGTTTTTTATTAATTTTATTATATATTTTATACTTAAATATTATTAGCTAATTTTTTTTAAACTTAATTTTAATTTAACTTATCTAAAGAAAATAAATATATAAAATATAATTTTTTAATTATTATTATTCAAATTATCTGTTAATATCTTTATTATTTTACAGTTTATATTTTTTTTATTAATATTAATTAGTTTTTTTTATTATTTACAAATATAATATTAATTATTAATTAATTTTTTATTATGAATTTATTTAATTATTTATTTAAATAATAATTAATTTAATTTAATATGATTATAATTTTTTTAGAATTTTATTAATTTTAATATTATTAAATATATTATTAATAATAAAAATAGTATTATAACTTGGTTATAATTCTCTAATTAGCTATTGTAATTAATTATAATTCTCTAATTGATTATTATAAGTTATAATTAATTGAGATGATATTTTTAATTAATAGTAATTTCAAAATTAATAAAATTATTAATAAAATAGAAAAATTATTAATTTTATTATTAATATTTTTTAGAAAAGAAATAATAATATAATTTAATATTTAAAATTATTTTTAATAATTATTATTATTTATTATTTAATATAAGAAAAATTTAATAAATTAAATATTTGTATAATAAAAAGTAATTTTTAAAAAAATAAAATAGCTACAAATTTAATAAATAATATTAATAAAATATAAATTATTTATTTTTTTAATATTATCTTTTTTTTTGTTTTTAATATATTAATCATTATCTAAATTTATAATATAGTGATGACCAAAAGTAGTGACTCAGGGGTTAAATTTATTAATAAAATATAGTGAAAATTGAAATTTTCTCTTTATATTAAAATTTATAATTTTATTAAGAAATA